CCTCTCCTTAGCTATATCTCATCCTTTTATCTGCAAATCAATCTTAAATTTGAAATAGGACTTTGAATTTTAAAGAAAAATTTAGATCAACTTCTATCCAAACTCTATCTTGATGCTTCTATAAATTGAGTCTTTTGGGAGAGCAAACGCATAGAGTAGCAACAACGTCTTTAGCCAGGAGCAGAGCTTCAGAGCTTCAAGAACAGAGTTTCAGAGCTTCAGGAGCAGAGCTTCAAAGTTTCAGGAACAGAGCTTCAGAGCTTCAGGAACAGAGCTTCAGAGTTTCAGGAACATAGCTTCAGGAGGAGAGCTTCATTCTTAAGGAATAGAGCTTCAATCGCAGCATTTGTTTTCCAGGAGCAGAGCTTCAATTGCAGCATTCTCGTGCATAATTTGATAGTCGACAGTGGCTTCAATTAAGTAACCGCCTATACCCTTTACTTTAAAATTGTTGTAGTGCTGTGTTGTCATTATGGAATGCTTTTTTTTTTTTATTCTTTTTCACATGGTCATAATTTGGGTGGTTTTTTTTTTTTTTTTGTGTGTGTTTTCTTGCTGCACTTTTGAATAGATGATGATATCAAGCATAGTATTGCATAAACAGAAAGCCTCCACTTGCTCCCATTTGGCCCCCTTTTTTTTTTTAACGCTGCACTTTTATGGGTCAACACGTAAAAGCAAGTTTCAATGCTCTGCACATGCATATGAAGTTGTCCGTGTCGAGTTTTCTTCAAGAATGATGCAAAATTTTCTTTTTCTTTTTCTTTTTCCATTTTTTTTGGGAAAAACTGCAATCCGATCCTTGAACCCTTTTTTTTTACTGCTGTCCTCCAACTTTCTATAATTTTTTGATTTAGTCACTTAATTTGTGATTTGCCCCAATCAAGTCCTTTCCATAGGCAACAACTGGAGCAGCATTTTTTCTTAGACTCAACAAGTCTTGGCCCCAAACTTCTTGCTGCATGCACCACTTTGTCTTTAATTCATGAACTTAACATGAATAATTTGGCCTTTTGTGTATGACTTTATTTAGACATGCCTCCAAATCGAAGACCTACTTCCGAGATGATTTCCGCCGTTACGGTGTTGAAAGGTGATTGGATTGCTGATTCGTCCAACCCTGAAGAGGCGAGGCAATTCTTGCGCTTCCCGTCAACTCACATACGGTCTTCTCTTCATCAGAGGCTAAAGAGCTTCAACTTATGGTGTTGAGTCAACCAATGGTCCCTATGCCATCGAAGGACTTTCTCACCTACATGCATTAGAGATGCCCAAGTTGTGTGAATATGTGACCTCGGAACGAAAAGCTTCATCAACAGCAAGCCACGCTAAATCTCTCCCCTCCTTGGTGCTTCCATCCAATCATGTGACTGAACATGCAACACCAAAAGCAGTCGTAACACAATCGATTGGTCGAGGAGCGAGCAAATGGTGTCAATCCATTGATCATTTGGGAAAGATAACATCCCTAAGTGGCTTCTAGGATTGGTCAAACTACACAGCCAAGATGTTAAGTCATCACAAGATGGGAGCTTTAGCAAATGCAATGTCATTGGCCAATAATGACTATTGTTGTCCTTCGAGTATGCTTTGTGCCCTCATTGAGGTATGGTCTCCTAGTACAAATACCTTTTTAACTTCTACAAGAGAGGTTGGAATTTCTCTCCTGGAGATGTGAGATATTTCTAGCTTGTCAATTCGAGGAGCATACTACAATGAGGTGATTCCAAGTTACAAAGAACTCACAGAGGACTTACCACCTTATTGCTTACTTCTGTTTAAAGAATTTGCCATGATCATCTAAAGGGAGAATTTTGAGCGTGTAACTTACGTTGATTGGCTCGACTTCTGGTATAATCGTAACCCACCCTATGCCGATCCACTCAAGAGAAGACGATATCTAGATATGTCCGAGTTGAAGTATGATGGCAATGGGAATGTGATTTCAGTTCCTAAACTTGACCGCCCATTGAAGTGGACATTTGGACATGAGAGGAAACTAAGGGATGTACCAGAACAATGGAATCAACTTGGCATGTTGGATGTTGCTTTGGAAGTAAATGATAGAGAAAAACTTTTGATTGTTGCTTATCTTCGTGTTTGGCTTGGCAGATTTGTTTTTCCAAATGGGGAAGAATTTGTTAAAGTCGGAACTTTCAAAGCTGCAGCCCAAATGGCAATCGGTGTTACCTACAGCTTGGTTCCTCCTATCTTGGCATGCATCTATCATGGACTTGGACAATTAACAAAAATGCCTAAAGGTTCATGGGTACATGCAACTGAAACTCCTCCTTTTCTTGGACATTATTTATATGCTTGGATTGGTTTACATTTCACCGACAAAACTTTTGCAGCCAGATATGAAGCCTTTCTACCTATGGTTCGGCAATTTCGTGGGATTTTGAATGCCTACCAGCCTTGGGAACTAGAGGTAACGGATTGTCGTGCAGTTTTACGAGGTGATTTATCCTCAGACGACTTTTGTTGGACTTTAGTGCCTTTACCAACCCACCCTGAACCTCGAGTTGATGATGGACAACGACGGGCTGACACTTTGGATTTCATGGTGAGTATCAAAGCAGGTTATGTGGTGCTTCGCCAAGAAGGCCGCTTCACAAAGAAGTCTTACAATCCTCACCGATTTGCTAGACAACATGGATTTCAACAAAGACTTCCAGGAAGACATGTCAAATTGCCTCACGGTGGTGAAGTGTTAGATCTTTATCGATTTTGGTTATCTTTAACCCGAGTACATAGCACCACATTTCTTCATATCCCTTCAGTTGAAGGCGGAGTAGCATCTAGGGTTGACCCAGCTTATGTGAAGTGGTGGAATGAAGAATTTTTTCCTTCAATTTTTGCAGTGAGCATCCAATTCTTGAAGGCTAGCGAGGCTAGAAATTTCATCCCATCCTTAATGAAGAGCACAGTGATCAGACCTCAAGGGAAGGGGAAACAGCTTCAGCACTATTGTCTCCCTCACAGAAGCGAAATAATGCTGATGACCCTAGTCCACCTTCAAAGAAGCAGAAATGCAACAGAAGTCCTCAAAGAGAGCCAAACTCTTTACAACATCCACTTTCTACACCTACTGCCCGGTAAACCACCAGTCAAGCTTTGTATGAAGGTAAGCATGTTTCCTCACCTTTTAAAGAAAATCTTCCCTTTTTTCTTTTTTTTTTTTAATTCTTTTGTTACTGACTTTTTTTTTTCTTCTTTCAGAAATATTTAACTCCCCAGAATTAAGAGGACTGTCAGGAGATGTAGAGATCATTGGTGCTTTAGATGATTTTCTTAAGACAAACACTCTTGAGATACTTGGATCGCTTCCAACTCAAATTGATGGAGGAGTTCTATCCTTAAATATTGGTGAGCAAGTAACTGCGAAGATGGGGAAGTTGACTTTCATGACAGACAACTAAGTGTGAAGGAAACCGTTGGACTTAATCCTCTTGCCATGACATCATCTAATCCACTGAAACTTAAGCCTACATTCTCCTGCATCACAAAGCCTTTGGAACCAATTAGCTTTCAAGCACTAGTGAAGCCTATCCTTTTTAAAGCTATAAGCAACTATGTGCAAGAGGAATTTTCACGAGGCTTGCACAATGGCTTTTCTGGGCTTGGATAGTGGTGGGCAAAGCGATCTTCTGCAATTTCAGAAGCACTCCAGCTCTATTTCCGCATGGATGTTGACCCTTTACTCAAGACGATGGATGCTTACCTATCTAAGGTAAATCTTTACTTAGCAAAACGAGATGAGGTGTCCACCAGCTTGGATGTTGAAGAAAGAGATAAATCTCTTGCTACCGTACAGAAAGGGATATCATTAAATCAGATCATCCATGACTCTCTTTCAAAGGAAATCAATGAATTCACCAAAAAGAAGGGATCCCTAGAAAGTAAGATTGAAAGTTTGAAGAAAGAGCTAGAATCAATTAAGCAGCAACATAGTGATGTGACTTCCACACTTGATTTGCACCTTGACAAGAGGCTGACGGCAGAAGAACAACTCCAATCCAACCAAGCAAAATTGATAGAGTTGGAAAACTCCAAAGTTGTAGCTGTTGAGACAGTCGCAGAAGTGGAGAGGATGCGACAAGACCTTGAAAGTGAGTTTGAAGCCACGCAAAGGGAACTTGGTTTGAAAACAACATGTGGTGTTGTTCATTTTGTACTCTTTCCTTTTTTTTTTTTAGACTTTGAGCATTCCATTTCAAAGACTTGTCAAATTTTGGCTTTAGCCACTTTGTGAGTAAATAAGATGCATTTTTTTCACTTTTGTTGTGCTCTTTGCTTTGCTTTCTTTGCTTGACATAGACATTTCTCCCTTTGTTGGACACTTGAAATGAACCATAATCAAAAGCAAACTTAAATTTATTTTAAGAATTTGACTGAACTTGAAAAAAACAACAAGCTGCTTACGTACCCTTTTTGTGGATCAAGTCAAACGTAGTCCAAAGCTTTTTTTTTTTTTTTTGAGCCGTTCACAGTTTATACTCTTGCGGGCCAGGAGTATTACAATTTTTTATTTTGGTCATACAGTTTATACTCTTGTGACTAGGAGTATTACATTTTTTTTTTTTGTCATACAATTTATACTCTTGTGACTAGGAGTATTACATTTTTTTTTTTGTCATACAGTTTATACTCTCGTGACTAGGAGTATTACATTTCTTTTTTTATTTAAGAGTAAAATTTCTTGAGGAACTTTCCATTAATGGGACCAATCTGTAAACCATATTTGTCAACAATCTTATAGGCACCATTACTGTAAACTTCTGTCACAATATAAGGACCATCCCATTTTGAAGTAAACTTGCCCCCTGAATGATAAGTGATGACAATTGGCCTTTGAATAGCTAACACCACATCTCCAACTTGAAATGCCCTTAGTCAAACCTTCTTGTTGAATGCCCTGGACAATCTGGCTTGATAACACTCTAAGTGTTGCTGGGTCTCTAGTCTTTTCTCATCTAAGGCTTCTAGTTCTTGGAGACGGAGCTTGGCATTTTGTTCATCAATAAGACCTTCTTGAATGGCAATCCTGAGAGATGGAATTTGGCATTCCAAAGGGAGAATAGCTTCAACTCCATACACAAAGGAATAAGGAGTTGCTTTTGTTGGAGTACGATGAGTCGTTCAATACGCCCAAAGTGCTTCACCAATCATTTCATGCCAATCCCGCTTAGACTTTGAAACAACCTTCTTAAGGAGATTGCAAAGGGTTTTATTAAAAGCTTTTGCCAGTCCATTCGCAGCAACATTGTACATGGAGGAAAAATGTTAGGCAAACTTGAACTTTGAACACAGCTTGTCCATGAGACTGTTGCTAAAGGGCTTGCCATTAACTGTAATTGTGTACCTTAGAACACCATATCGATAGATGATATTGACTCGAATGAAGTCAACAACATTTTCCTTCTTGACTTCTCTCAAAGGTATAGCTTCCGCCCATTTGGAGAAGTAATCAGTTGCTGCTAGGATATATGCATGCCCAGCTGAAGATTTTGGTGTTATGGGTCCAATTACATCTAAACCCCAAGCATGAAAAGGTCATGATGCTATTGTTGGATGTAAAGGCTCCGATGGCTGATGGATAAAGTTTGCATGAAATTGACACACTTCACATTTCTTCGCATATTCCATGCAATCCTTTACCATTGTTGGCCAATAATATCCCATTCTTCTTATTCGGTAGTGAAGCTTTGGACCAGACTGATGAGCTCCACAAATTCCAGAATGCGCCTCCTCAACCACTTGGGATGATTCATCTCCATCCAAACATCTAAGGAGAACTCCATCAAAATATCGCCGATAGAGGGTGTTACACAAGTAAACAAAGTGTAGAGCCCTCCTCCGAATTGTGGATTTTTGGCGTGGATCATCTAGTAGCTTGCCATGTTCCAAGTAATTGATGATTAGTTGTCTCCAGTCTTCTTTCTCAATGACACATACTGAAACAACATTGCTTTCTGCATCTTCAGATCTCAAATGAGGTGAAATCCATCGTTGTGACACAAAAATAGTAACTTCTTGATTATCGAGACTTGCAATGATAGCAGCTAAATTAGCCAAAGCATCTGCTTGCTTGTTTTGACTTCTAGGAACGTGGGCAATTGAGACATAATCAAATTTCTCAAGGAATTGAGAGGCATATTGGAAGTATGGGACAAGTTCTGGTTTTCGAACATCAAACTCCTTTATGAGTTGATTCATTACCAAGCTTGAGTCCCCATAAACATTGAGTTGATAAATTTGCATTTCAAAGCCATCTCCGAGCCCACAATCAAGGCTTGATACTCAGCAACATTATTGGAGCATTGTTCTCTTA